CTGCCCCCACCCCGGGCTCCATGTGCAGTGACTCCCAGAAAAGAGCTTGACTGGAATGTAGTGAAGAAGGAAGTTGGGGGAGGGAACCCCAAACACATAAATAAATGACCCATTGAGCAGATAATGGCTTTTTATTTTTTGGCCAGGCAATGTGCAGAATTAGCATCACCACTGATTTCCTCCCCACCCCCCACTCCTTTTAGCTGCAGTCTCATGGGGAGGGTGTTAAGTGGGGGAGAGATCTTGATTAAAACTCTCTCTTTCTCCTTCTTTCTCGGGCTTTCTGTCTCAGCAAGCACAAGTCCAACAGAGCTGGAACTTCTGGCAATAAAATAAACATGTAAAAAAAGGAACACAAGCTCTCCCTATTTCTGTGGTAGAAACCTTCTTGAGCTTGCTGGCCTGTTGGAAATTAGAGCTTCTGCCCTTTACAAATATCCTATTCTCCTGTTCCTTTGAGGTCCTGTCCCTTAAGCATTGGCTACTTGGGAGGAATGAAAGAGGGAAGAGGCAATCCTGCTCCCAAGAAGTTCATGGGGATTTTTGAATCAAGCACTTTATTCTGCTGGACCTAAAACAAGAAACAAGTGGGCACAATTTAAAAATAAATAAACAAAAACTTAACAAAACCAAAAACCTCCCTTATAGTCATATTTGTTCTTACCCTTCTCTTAAGTCCTTACCTAAGCCTGTTTAATATAGAATGCTTTCAGTCTTGTTTATTTTTCTGGAGGGATGCTTCCTGTGAGCTATATATTTTGTCAATCTGTGAAACCAATTGTATTGTTTTTGTGGACTCCCTATAGTGTCTTGCATATCTTTATCATAATTCTCAGTCCTATTGGGGTTACACTGACATCACCAGTTGCAGTAATAGAGCAGTTAAACTGCTACTTAGTAATTGCTACTGAAAGAGAGAGAAGCTGGCCTAGTGAAAGGGGAAGAAAATCTTCAAACATTGCACTGGATTGTTGTGAAGCGAGACCATAAACAAAAACCCTAGTCTAGCCTTTGACAATAGGATGCCTGATTCATTTTGTACAGTAAATAGCATGAAGGGTTTCTTTTAAATATGCTGAAGAAGTAGTGGGAATATTTAGACACAAATCTGGGCTGAAATAAGCAAAGCTTGTCAACATTAGAAATCTGGAGAAGCAGCTCAGCTTCTAAAGATGTAATAATAGTTGCACGCTTCCATGAATTACTCATTTGATAAAGTAGCCAAGGACACATGAAGCAGCCTGGAATTTAACTCTTTCAGTGACATAGTGGATGGATGTTGAGCTTTCTGATAATTTGCACTCAAACCTTGCCAAGATTTCAAGGTGCCAGGCAAGATAAAAATGTCAAAAATAAGATAGATAACCTTAGAAAACAAAATGAGATGAAAAGTAAGGACTTCATAGGAACCTCAGTAGAAATGAAAGCTGGTTGACTTTCCTATTTCCTTCTTTCATGTCAGAATTCCGGCGTAGTATTCAGTAGTATATGATATGTGAGCTGTCTTCTTTTTCACAGTATGGGATAGATCTGTAATTACCTAGGCAGGTAGGAAGTTGGTGTAAATAGCAAGTACAGTGTGAGTAGTGAGCAGCTATGTATATAGTAGTAAGACAAATGCCCTCTCTCACCATGTAGTTTGGGGCCATGTGAGAATCGCTTCTCCATTGCTGATGCAGCTCCTGTGAGCACATTTGGGGGAGGGGCAGGCCAAGGTTCATCTGCCCCCTGTGTTCCTCAGCCAGAATGAGGAATGCAGCAAACTCTGCATTCTCCCCTCACTCCCTGATGAAGGGGAACAGCCTGTAGTAATGGTGGAGGAGAGCTTCAGCTTCCCATGCCCTCCCTAAAATGCCTAGAGGAGTGGGCAGTCCTGGATGAGAACAGCAGGTACTCCAGCCAGCCCCGTTCACCTGCCTGGTGATTGTCTCCTTTCTGTGTGGTTAGGAGAATCAATCCCATTCTAGGCATACCCCATTATCCTGGCACAAGCAAACCCTTACCTCACTTTAAGTTATGAGTAGAAGAAGCTGTATACCAAATGTCATGGTCCTAGCTCTTCCCATTTAGGAGGAGTTCTTGACCAAACAGTCAAACTCTTTCAAATATATATTAGGTACACAGTGAGAAAAACACAATTTGACAGCCCAAGAAGCCGAAGTCCCTAGTATATTCTTCAGGGATGGCGGGAGACAGTCCATTGCAATTAATTGTCCTGTAAACTTCACTCTCACTGTGTTTCCACCTTGGCCTGCAGAGATCCCTGGATCTCTCTGCTGAGATTTTTAAACAGGTGGGCAATTAGCAACAACTACAGTATGGAAATTTGTCCACGCATAATAGGAATAGAGTTTCCCCAACTTATTTGTAGACCATTCAAACATCAGTCAGGAGGTAGTGACTTAGGTCACTACTTACCTGGGCCCTGCCTACTCTGACTTGTGCCAGCAGCCTCCAGGGAGTGAAAAAGCACTACTCTTTTAATAAAGGACTTGCTCCTTGTGGTTGCTCATGTGATTCAATGCATGTCAAAAATTAGTTTGATGGCTGGAAGTAACCAGCACCTCAACAAATAACTTCTTGAAAATTGCCTTAAGAAAGTTCCCTCTCCCTGCCCCTTTCCAATATCATTATCATGAAGTAAAGGGTAGTAAAGTAGCCTTTTTTGAAGGAAGGGGAACATTGGGGTTAAATTTTTGTGAGAATTCTGCAAGGCTGCCTTTATCCGATGTCCAAATAAAAAAAATAATGAAGGGATCTATATTTCATTGTACAGCTTTACAGGTTCCCTCTCTTCTTCTGAGAGTTTTGGCAATTGTATCCCCCCCCTCTTTTAATTGCATATGTACAAGCTGTGATATGTCTGGGTGAATTAAAATGAAGTGATCCTGGTGGGAAGCAGGAATATTCTTATATCCATTAAAGAGAAAAGCTGGAGTCAGGCAGGCGAGCACACACAAAAAAAGGGAGCGAAGATTTACATTTGGTATCCAAGGAAGCAGAGCAGAATCCTGCAGGGTTTTCTGTTCATTGTTTAAATGTTGCCATAGCAATATCTTGGGGCACAAGTTACATGTTTTTCACTTATCTAGTTGAGCTTTTCTTCTCTCCCTTTTGATCTACTTAACAACAACAAATATTTCCATTGAACTTGGCACAACAATGGGAAAAAGAGTGAGATGGCCTCATTGTCTCTCCCTGGCATTCTGCAGTTCTACCCCCAGGTCTGTTAATGTACACGAGACCTAATTAAGATAGAACTGCTCCATGGAAGTACAGTGTGAGGCTGCTTCTTGTTGTAAGGACACCGAACATATTACAATATTTTGTGTAGTGGTGATATGTTAATTGGATAGCTGCAGGCAAGTGAAGTGTAGCAGTCGCTGACAATTAGAAAGAACAATGAACTTGCTAGGACTCAATCCATTCCTCTAATCACTGGGTGGATTAAAATGTATTGCTTGAACACACACACAGTTCTATTACCTTTGCAAATTCTATTTTCATAAAGCAAGGACTGGATTTATCTTGATGTCTGCAAAAGAGAGAGAGGGAGAGGCAGCACTGGACCCTGAACAAAGTCCCTTTGCATTTGCTGCAGAGTATACAGCCATGCAGGAGTGTATGTGTGCAATAGACCACTGAAATCAGTGCTTTTTTAATGTAACACTGACATTGGTCCCATGCCTAATTAGTTAAAACCAGCCCAACAGAGTCACTTTGCAAAAGAAAAAGCTTTTGTCTTGAAAGACAGGGGAGATTCAGAGTGCTGGAGATACCATTTGTGTGGAGGAATCTCCCTTTGGTTATGTTTTGCAGCAGAGGGACCCATGCTTGGTGCAAGAAAATAACTCCCAGAAATGAGGATATGCCTTCCTGTCATGTGGCCAATTTAATATAAAATTGACTTCTGAAGAGCCTCAATAGTTAGAGAGGGTGTGGTGTGGTTTCTTTTCTTTTTTTTTTTTTTGGT